TTCCACAGATGGAGCAGAAGTGTGTGTAAAGGAGCCAATATCTCATCCTTCTCCAGCTGCAGTAACTCGCACGAACCTGGCGGTAGGTTCTCTCCATCTTTGCCTTCATCGCCATCCTTCATATCCTGCTCCTCGACAAGAACATTGTCGATTTCAATGCCTTCTTCGATAGCACCATCAGTCCATCCCTTGAAAAGTTCCTCATAGTCTTCAGGGCTACACATGTCCTCCTTGTTCTCTTCAGAAACGGTCATCGCATTAGGAACTAAGCCTGAGCTTGGGCCAACATGGTTAGCCATGTCCATGTGCCCAGCAGCAGGATGGCTCAGAAAGGACGAGTTCTTCAGTGACGGGAGAAGGCTCCCGGCGGTAGAGATGAGCTGAACTATAAGGCATGTCAGGTCTGCATTAACTACCTGCTGCTTCTGGAGCGAGAGCTCGCCTTGGTGGCACGAAAGCTGCCCCCCACTGTCCACCATTGTACGGATGACATCCTTCACTTGCCGTATCTTCTCCTCGATGAAGGTGAGGTTGTCTAGCATCGTAGCAGGGTTCCAATCCATGTGTGGGATATTGGTGGATGGAGAAGCACCGAACGGCGAGGTGAATGGTGGAAACTGCTGCTGTGTCCCCATGCCGGGGAAAGGATTGTCTGAACCGAACTGGTAGTAGAGGTTGGCCGCAGATTGATTGTGGATGTGGTTCTGACTGAGATCCATTGTTGATGAACTTCCAAAAATCCCCGTGTTTGAATTCAGACGAAGACTCTAGTCTGCAAAAGAAGAGTTGAAACCCAACGGTTCATCAGAACCTGCAGATCTGAATATTCATCGTTTGCAGATATTTGGGTGCATATAAAAGCACGAGTCATTAGTTGATTAATAATGGATGTAAAATAGCACCGCAGAGAAAATTTCAACATATTCCAGCCTTCCAGGAGGGTTTTTCAAGCATGACACTAGGATTTGGGCACTGCTGTCACGAAGCAGATCAACCTTTTGTCCTATAGTGTAAAACAAGCATGACCTTATATTATGATAAAAAAAAAGTAGTGTAATCTTTAGGTAAAGGGACTATGTTTGGTGTTGAGAGAACAGAGCAGCCACAAATTTGACAGGATTTGACGCAAATACAAATAACCATGGATGATAAAATAGGGGGAGAAAAAGGCCATTATCGCTCTCGTTTGGATGAGTCTCTCACGTTTGTTTGACCCAAGAACGCCCGTCCCCTTTCCCTTCTCGAGAGATCTCAAAGAAGAACGCCCTCGATCCCCGTCAACAGTACGATGATGCGATATCCAGACAGAAACTAAATTCTTAACGGCTTTATTCAAGAAAATCTAGCAAGAGGGCACATACCAGAGAGGAGGAGGAGGAACCGGCGGCGGCGGAGGTCGCCACCATGCCGCGGGCAGGAGGAGGACGGCGGAGGAAGGGGCGGGGAAGCAGGCAGGAACCAAGAAGCATACTAGACCATGGAAGGAGGGGGTGGGTGGGTGAGGGTCAAACTTATGGGAGGGAGGAGACGGAGCTCCCCAATCCAAGAACCAATCGGTCGCGAGTATACCACTAGTTTACTCGGTGGCCTGTGAATAATGGCGTAAACTATTGATTCCTGCGTGCGCTCCCTGCCTCGAGTCCCGATCCATCCTCGGAGCCTGCTGCCTGCCCCGCTGAACGCTGATGCTCGTCGCCCGCGTGTCATGAACTCAGGGTGCGTTTAGTTCCAAAAAATTTTGGATTTTGGCTCACTGTAGCATTTCGTTTGTATTTGGTAATTAGTGTCTAATTATGAACTAATTAGGTTTAAAAGTTTCGTCTCGCGATTTCTCGACCAACTGTGTAATTAGTTTTTTTTTTCATCTACATTTAGTACTGCATGCATGTGCCGCAAGATTCGATGTGACAGTTACTATGCAAAATTTTTTGGCAACTGATCGGTCTCATGGACATGGTCGTCACATGGACAAGGGCAGATGGGGAGAGACTAGACCATGCCCATGACCATTGGCATTGGCGGCAGTATAATAGGCATCACATCACACGATCGATTATACTTTTTTTTATCATACATGATCGGTTATACTACTAGTGCTAATCCAGCAGTACAGTATTAGTGATACGGTTTATCAAGCCCCACTCTGCTTTTTATATAATAATATAAAGAAGTATTGCTACGTACGTACAACTCTTTTATAAGAAAATTTTAACATCTCAGCCAATGGAGAAGGCAAGGTAACTGCCTGATTGGTTGATAGCCAAATTTTGATTACCAAAACTCAAGCTAAAATTTTGGCAGCTATTTGATTTGCTACTAAAGTTTGCCAATATTTCACCGATTACCATACTAAATCTATGGCAAAAAGAATTTGCCTAGTCTTGGCAACCTTTTTCTTGCCAAATCTTTAGCATGACAATTTTGGGTAGTTAACCAAGTAGGCCCTATCGACTAAAGGTGACTATGGCCTCCCTAGTATTTGAGATTACTTTTAGAGTAAGCAGTGTCTATTAATGTCAAATATTAATACCCTTTTTGCGTGGTTAGCGCTATTGACCCCTCCTAGATCTCACATCAAGCTCTATTTGTGGACTTGAGAATCACGTACGTTAACAACAGTTTATGTTGTTGTAGTAATTAAAATGCACTATTATCCGTATTTTCAATAAATACAAAAGGAGAGTTTTGAGTAAAGTGCAATATAATAAGCATAGAGTTCCAACTTAATTTGAGAAAAATAGTTGAAGAAATTAAAAAGATTTGAAAGTTAGAATCTAGATTCATGACGTAATGAAACATGGGCTACCACAAAGAGCCGCCATAATAATTTAACTAAATTGGATTTAGTTAAATTATTCTATGATTTACTTATGTGAAGTTCAACAAAATTGGATTTTCTATTTTATGATTTTTCTATGATTTTTCAAAGATTTAGCGGAAATAAATAAAAAGGAAAAGACAGAACCACCGTCACTGTAGCAAAACCACCGTCCAAAACCGTTTTGGGGGGTTATTTGACCGGTTTTGAAAAGTTCATGAGGTAGAAAATCCGGTTTTATAGTTTAAAGGATGAAGTAGTGTACCCTAAATAGTATGGGGGTTTATGTATACTTTTTCCTATACGCATAGGATGCTTTAAGCACATGGATGCTTGCTTCAGAATTGTAACAAGCACAGTTTCGTGCATTCGTTAAACGTTAACTTGAGCTCCCCTAAACATCCATCCTAGATCCGTCCCTGCCTGTAACTTAAAACTAATGGAGTACTTTACAATGTAACTTAAAACTAATGGAGTACTTTACAAAGATTGTAGTGGTGGTGGTAGTGCCTCGCTAAAATGACATATCTTATATTGCACTAGATGCAGGAAGTATAGGATGGGATCTTCTACTTTCCTCGCCTAATTTAACAATACACATGGATTAAGGTGAACATATGGTATCAAACAAGGCCTCCGCAGACCCCTGCCAAGCCACTCCACTGTGCGAGGTCCTCCTGCCTCCAACTCACGCGCCTGAACTCTAGTCCTGATGGCAAGTAAAAAAAAACTCTAGTCCTGATGACACGATGACTACAAATCTGCAACTTGTCTTTTTGTCATCGCCCACTCGCACCATCTCCAATACTCTCTCTGCTTCTGCTTGCTATACCATTACCAAAAACATGGACATTTAACTAGTTTATAATAAGATGTTGTTGTTAGTCTTGCATTGTGAATGCTCAGTAAGTATCTTCATCTCCATTTATACAGGAAAAATCAAGTATGTTCCCATCAATGCTTCACTGATAAATTATATAGCTCTCATTGATTTTTAATATCTGATGATAAACGACTTAAATATAACTTATTCAGTGGTAATATAATGAGTCATTCTCTGTAGATATTTGTTTTCCTTGTGGTAGTAAAAAGCCACTAATACACAGCTTATAAAAAACTATTTCATCTGTTCTAAATTATAAGACATTTTGGCTTTTCTAGGTTCATAGCTTTTGCTATGTATCTAGATATAGATTATGTTTAGATACATAATGAAAACTATGTGTGTATCTCGAAATGGCAAAGCATCTTATAATTTGGAGCAGAGACAGTAGCAAACATGCTTGTGCGCTGCAACGGAACCTAATACGCATAGGAATCGGACTCCATATCAACGGTATACGCGTGTTGTTCTATAGCTTGTATGAGCGCGGATCATGAGTTCAACGCACGACCCAATTTATATTGGAATCGGACTCTATATCTATGATTGTTAGACGCGGGTTGTTTTAACTTTATGAGTGTGGGTCATAACTCAAGTAAGAAAACGGGATGGAAGAACTCGTCACTGTCCGGATGGTCAGGGGGTAGATGGAAAAAAGGGATGAAATTTTGACACTTAATATTATTATTAGGTATAGTCTAATAGATAAAAAAGCCAAGAAACCAGCCTTCTTCTTTTGAACAATATAAACCTGCCTTCGATAGGTGAAGGCGAATTTTTAGGAACGCCGCCTTACAACGGTAACCGCCAAAAAGATCTGCACTACAACACTTCACTCTACAGTACTCGTGCGCGCACGCGACAAAAACCAACCACCGCGCGCCGGGAGCCGGCCACGCCATCGCCCGCCATGGCTCCACTCCTCCTCCCCCTCCGCCTCAGCCCCGTCCCCGCCGGGAGCTCCACCTCCCGGATCGCACCGAGGCCACGGTCCCCTCGTCCCTTCCCCAGGCGGCGCCTGCGTCTTCCGGCCCTCCTCCAAGTTGCGGCGGGGCTCTACCCGGCCCCTACGTTGCGGCCGGCGCCTCCGTGGACGTCGCGCGGCCCGAGGCGTTCCGGTGGTTCGTGGCGCTGGCGCCGGGGTCCTACACCACCACGCTCGGCTTCATCATGCTCGCCATGGGCCTCACGCTCCAGCTCAGGGACTTCGACGCCCTCCTCCGCGACAGGCCCCTCGCCGTACGTGACCGGACCCGGATCCGGATCCTTTCTCGCTCGATCTGCTGATTCAACAAGGTGTTTTCCTACTGCAGATTTTGTTCGGGTGTGCCGCGCAGTACACCATAATGCCTGCGTTTGGCGCGATCGTTAGCCACGCGCTGGGGCTTCCCCCGCTCCTCTCAGCTGGACTCATCCTGCTGGGATGCTGTCCTGGAGGAACTGCATCCAACGTGGTAAGACTGTCAACTGAACCCAGCTTGTCACACTCCCAATTTCTTTTACAGAGTGGGGATTTTTTGTCCCCTTCTCTTTTATTCCTATGGCCAAAATCACTTTGCTGGATATGTACTGAAACTAAAGTGAACTGAAAGCTTCAAGGGCCAAACTAAGAATAGCTATGCAGTTCAGAGTTCACACTCTTGTGTTCATTGAACAATGGAATTGAGATGCCAATAGTAGTAGACTACTTGGTGGTTGTTGTTTTTTTAACTTCTGGAGAAGCTAGCTGCTTTTGATGTTCCTATACGCACTAAACGCAGAAATGTACACGTCTGAGCTATTTACATGACAATGCTACACAACGTTTTAAATTTTGGAGAAGAAAAAAACTGTTGCACGTTGTTAACAATTATAAGCAGTTCTGTTTTCCTGCTTCATGAGTCTTTTTTTATCCCCAGATGTATTGGTAGTCTATTGGACACACATGGTCAGCCGTCAGGCAGCATTTTTTTTGGATTTTTTTCCCAGGATTCTCTCTTACTTAACTGTTTCATATAGTGGTTCAGGTGACTTTAGTTGCTCAAGGTGATGTTCCATTATCCATCGTGATGACTGTCTGCAGTACTCTTGCTGCAGTGTTCCTTACTCCTCTGTTAACGAAAATTCTTGCCGGTGCTTATATTCCTGTGGATGCTGTGAAGCTCTCTCTCAGTACTTTGCAGGTGAAATTTCTAATGCTGTCATTGCATAACAAAAATTACTCCTATTTTATCTAACCTTTTTCCCCTTCAGGTGGTGGTTGCCCCAATTCTATTAGGTTCATCGATACAAACTGCATTCCCATCAGTAGTTCAATTCGTGACTCCTTTTGCACCTCTGATTGCAGTCTTGGCTTCATCCCTTCTGGCATGCAGGTTCAGATCTTTCAAATTTACCATGTCATATTGGCTTGGGAATTGCAGAAATTCTGCATCCTTTTACCCTTTTATTAATGTTACAGTGTCTTCTCTGAGAACTTTGTGCGCCTAAGATCGACAATTGCTGATGCATCCTCTGTGAATGGAAACTTCTTCTCTGAGGATATCAGGGTTGTCATGCTCTCTGTCTTCTTGCTGCATTTTTCTGGTTTCTTTGTCGGGTGAGCACTAGAATGCTTACTATACCCTTTATGTGTAATGTGATTCACAAATTTTGTGTCAGAAGTTGTGGCCACTTGTCATAGATTTCTAAATGTTTACATGACTCTGTGACAAACAGGTATGCAGCAGCAGCTATAGGTGGTTTCAAAGAAAAACAAAGGAGAGCAATATCTATTGAGGTATGGATCCTGACCAGATCTAACTACATTTCCCAATCAATATGGCCAGTAAAACGGAGGATTTATATATCCAGTTTGAAACCATGTATAGAATACTAAAGTAGGACAAGGCTGCATTTTTGCAGATCATATGTTGTCTGAAAACAACACTTATTTGTGACTTCCTCAAAAAAACAGGTGGGAGCCTCCTCCCCCCCCCCCCCGGTTCACAATAAAAAATCCTAAAAAACACTTATTTGTGACCATAGAGATTAGTACCTGTAGACTATTATATTGTATGTAGTGAGTGAAGCTCATAAATTCCAAGCATGGATAAGAAACCTTGCAACAATAATTATGTCTCTTTGACCATGTTTTTTGTACAATGCTTTCTACTTGATTGTCTTTCAGAACTGCAATGAAGAGAATTAATTTGTGCATGGTGTTATGAAAAATGTTTAATAGGTTTTCTTCTTGGATTGCAGGTAGGAATGCAAAACTCATCCTTAGGGGTCGTTTTAGCAACTGCACATTTCTCCTCACCCTTGGTCGCCCTGCCTCCTGCACTCTCAGCTGTTGTCATGAACATGATGGGTAGCACACTAGGTCTCATATGGCAATCTATCAGCCCTTCTGTTTCAGAGAACAAAACCACTGACATAACCAATGCATGATCTACTCTTACTGTCGTGTGCTTAATCTCCTCTGCATATCTACTACTCAAATATGCGCAGTGTTGAAACCCTGAACGGCTGAACGTATACCTTTTGAGTACTTTTGATCGTTTTGGGGAACTGGGGTCACTGATGACTCTGGAATGTTGGCTTTGTGAGCCTCGGAACAATCTTGCTATCTTAATCATTGGAGGACCCAGGTCTGGTCTACAGACATCCTGTCTGAATTATATGAGTGATTTGTTAAAAAAAAGAATTATATGAGTGAATGCCCAGCTCTGGTCTACGGATGGCGAGGCGGTACCTTCAGCCTCGTGCACTTCCTTGGAGGTATCGCTTTGGAGTTCCTATCTTGTGTTGGATGGCCATTCCGGCATAAATCAATTGGTGGCAACGATGAGGCCTAGTTTGAGCTAGGTAGCTTGTCATTTGCGGTCATTTCTTTAGCCCAGTTTCCCCAAATTTACTGAGCATATTAGGGTTTTTCCATGTCTTCCCAAAAAATGACGTTGCATTAATTTAGTCAGGAAAACATTGTAGAATAGTTCAGTAGTCAATAACTTGAGAAGGTATGCTGTCATATAGTATCACCCCAAGCTAAAAGTCCAGAAACTGCATTATGCGTATCTACAAGGTAAGTGGAGAAATAACTCGCATTATGTTTGTAAATTGATGTGCAGTGTCTCATGAAATTACTCGAATGTGCCCTGTCAAAAAAACCCTCCAATTATCAATTGGAAGGTAGGCTAAAGCCACTGTTTTCCATAACCATGTTTCTGAAACAAGCTATATGTTTCTGTTGACATACGGCACCTGAATGCTGGCTTGAGGAAAATTGACTTGCAAATTTAGTACTTTACTTAAAAAAAAGGTTCGTTCTAAAGCGGCAAGCTTAGTCTGGGATCGTTGCATCCACCAATATTAGATATTATTTAGAGCCCAAGAAGAGCCTTCTTTAGCTCTATTCTGATATTTCTTAGAGCTCATGATGAGCCTATTTACCTCTTTTTTGTTTGTTTGAATGAGGCCCATTTCAGTTCAGGGGTCCAGCACCAACATATATGGGTCCCTTTTCAGTACTGAAAATGATTTATGGAGCACGGTGCCAAGAAGATGAAGAAGAAGCAAGGACCAGCAACACGCATGGAGGTGGGCTGAGGCACATTGCCTCGGGAAACAGTACTGGCATCTCATCCTGGGCATTGGTGGCCTGGGACTCTCATGTCGCTTTAGTTTGGGCCCTGCGTGGCTGTCAAGGGGTTTGTATGCCCATGTTATGCAGATCGTTGGAACAGACTAGCACTGCGGATGTGTCGATCATCTCAAGGATCTTTCAGTTTATTGACCGACAGGGGAGACTATGGCCTGCTGGCGCTGTTGCCTTTGGCAAATCCCGTTCGGTTCTATTTCGAATATTAGGGACCTGCTGGCCTCGCTGCCTTCGGTCCATGTATGTCAGGAACTTGGTCTATGCTCTAGTTGCTGATGGTGGTTAATGTCACAGAGAAATTGCTCTGTCTTGTGTTGGAATGTTAGAGGCCTCAACGATGGGGTGAAGCGGGCAAGTGTGCGCAATCTCATTAACTATTGTATGCCTTCAGAAAACCAAGATAGAAAGCTGGACTCAGTCTCCTTGTAGAAACCGTGGGTCCGGTTTTGGCTTGAAATTGCAGTTTTCTTCCATCAATAGGGGTAGCGGGAGGTATCCTAATAGCAATGTCTGACCAATTCTTCAGTATGTCACCTTTGCAGACAACGAACCATTCTGTATCTGCTGAAATCACGATGCTAGAAGAGAACGTAACCTGGTGTTTGACAGGTGTGTATGGGCCACACAACGATCAAGAAAAAATTGCGTTCCTTCAAGAGATTACAGACCTCAGGCAGCATATAAGGACAGCATGGCTTATCATAGGGGACTTTAACCTTATTTATAGAGCCGAAGATAAAAACAACGATAGGGTCAACATCCGAATGCTCAACAGATTTAAAAATACAATAGACAATTTACAGCTAGCGCCTCTGGAGTTGAAAGGGAGGCGATTCACATGGTGCAACGACCAACAAAACCCAACGTTGATGAAAATTGATCTTTTCCTAGCATCAACCGAATGGTTGGAAATCTTCCCAAGAACTGACCTCTAGGCTTTAGCATCTTTGGGCTCTGATCATTGCCCATTATTTCTTCAGGGAGATACGGATTTTGACTTCTACCGAGGTTTCCGTTTTGAGGCGCACTAGATACACATGCCGGAAATTACACAAACGGTCCAGGTGGCATGGGAGCAACCAGTAAGCTCTCAGGACCCAATGCTGCGTGCGCATGTCAAACTTTTGCGCACAGCAAGAGCCCTTAAAATATGGAGGCGAACACAACTCAGTGATTGGAAACTAAGAGACGCCATTCTTCACTTGATTCTATTAGAACTAGAGAAAGCACGAGAAAGACACGCTGACGACGGAAGAGTTGGAATTTAAAAGATACCTGAAGATGAAATCTTTAGGCTTCGCTGCCATTCAAAGGGCAAGAGCCAGACAGCATTCCCGGCTGTCTTGGATTCGAAAAGGCGACGGCTCCAATTCATGATACGGCGAACTAGTAGTAGACCTCTTCTCCAGTTGGGCCAGGGTTCTTGTTTTCGGAGTGTCCCTAGTCTCAGTCTTTTTACCTGTTTTCTTTCGTGCAGTTGTTTTTTCTGCCGTTTTGCTGGTTCCCGTTTTGATTAGCAGGGGACGCTGGATGTAAATAGGGAGTTGTATTTGTTCTTTTTTCTCTTTATATCGTCTAATAAAATCCGCGGCAAAGCTTTGCCGCCCTTTCGAATTTTTTTTGCATGTGACCTGGTACAATGATGTGCCTGCAAACAAAGCCCTGTGCTGTGCCACTGCTTCGATCTGTATGTTGTTGTCGCTTGTCAGTGCACTAGGAGGCACGGTGCAACGGCATCAGTCAAGGACATGTTACATGTACCATTTGCATCCATGCGCTCGTGCGGCTGTGCTAGTGCTAAGGATTAATGATGACCAAAGCTTGCCACTGCCCCACAGAGAAGTGTGTTGGTTGGTGAGATTCATGGAACCATGAGAGCAGAGCAGAAAGGCAGATCTCATCCATCCACACATGACACAGGAAAAATCTGATGACTCAGAGCAACATAAATCTGTTGCACAGCTGTGGAATCATGATAATCACTTGCTGTTATAAATTCTGGGAGCTGAATCATGCTGTTTCTGGAATGCTTACTTTAAAGGTCTGATCAACAATAAACCAATGTTGTAGGATCATGGGCAACACTATTTACCAGCTTTTCTTCTTCTTCTTGGAGTTCAACAATGATGACCTGGAATGTTTAGCTTTGAGTTTGAATGGTCAGCACTGTAGCATGTCCAGATCAGGTCACGTTTTTTTCTGAATCTTGGTTAGTGGCTAGCACCTTGGTATGATATGGTCAAAGGAAGCTATCATGTGAATGAGTCGTCAAGCATATACAAGTCAAGTTTGTATTAAAATCCTCCACTTGGATTGCTCAAGAAAAATAAGAGCATCCTCCACTTGGCCATTATTATGCTGAATGCTTATCTGATGGCAAACTGCATTGTCAAAACATGTGAAAGATATATGTAACTCCATATAGCTCCTAGAATCGCTGCGTTCTCAGCGCTCTGATTACTGTTACCCATACGGCCATCCAATCGATGCACGCGGCGTGTCCATGCTGCCTTCGCGTTGCCGGTCTTCCGGTGCTGCATTACCGGCGGATGTCGATGTGCGCATACGCTCCTCCAGTCCGTATCCTCCGCGTGTTTGCCTCCACCGGCCCAGATCCTCTCCACGCTGCTGCCTACAGGCCCCTCCCTCCTGCTCACCCAGACAGGCACGCCCGGCCCAGTGTCCGCGCGGCGCCTGGATCTCTCGTGCGTGTGCATGCCTAATTTCCCTATCTCATGATTAATGGGCCCAGCTCTTCTGTGCCCCACTCACAGTGATCCTGCCTATTCAGCCTCGGCGCCGTCGTCCACCAGCCTGCGAAGCTCGCGTCTCCACGCGCCGCGCGGCCGCCTCGGCACTCGCGCTCGCAGCAGCCTCGCCGCATCCGTCGACTTGGGCCTTTAATTCCTCCGCCTCCTTGCCTCGCTCATATGAAACTCCCGCGCGATGAGAGCGCTGCAGCTACTGTCCGGTTACTGTTCACAAATCGGACGCCTCCACGTGCCTCGTGCGTGTGTCCGCGTCCTTTTGCTCTCTCCCGATTCATTCAATGCCGCCGCCTAGGGCCTCTGGAAAAAAACCAGCCTTGCAGTGCCTCGACGCCTCCGCTTCATCCTCTTCCCCTCCCCCAGCTCCCATGGAAAGAAAAACGCCTCGCCGCCTCCACCTCCCCACCGGCCACCACGCCCCTAGATGCCGCACCTACCTGCCTCGCCGTTGGCTTCCTTCCTCAGATCCACTTCACCTCCTCCCGTTCCCTAGCTGGGTGCCTGGTGGGCATCTCGGAAGAAGGAGGGAGCGGCTAAGCAAGGTAGAGGTGATGGGGAATTGGGGGGCGATGTGGTGGCCGGTGGCGGCGGCACCTTGCCGGGGTTCTTGGGGAGGAAGAACCGGTACGCACGCGTGGACGGCGTGCTCTTGCAGGAGTCGTAGGACGGCGGTGGCATCCGTGTTCGCGGCAGAGGTGGCAGCTGCTGGAGATACGTCTTTTTCTGTTCCATCTCCGCGTCCCTCGACCATGTCCTGCTCGGCTACGGTGAGCAGATCTCCACTAGAAGTCTAGAATGACGTTTCGTTCTTGATGCAAATTTGGTCTTACTCATTGAGCTAAGAATGACGGTAGCTTTCGCTTTCTTCGGTGGTTTATTTAAGCAAGCAAATAAAATATATAATGGTCTAATCTTAGATAAAAAAAACGTATGTTATCTTGCTTAAAAAAGTCATTTAAATTTTTTTTCGTAATCAATCTGTTAATGCCAATCTTGACCCTACTGAAACTGCTCTGGAAATACTCTGGCAGAAATGTTTTCAAGTCTAGCATATGTAATGGGATGATGTCAAACTGTTCTGCAAATTCAATTGGTGTCTCATTTACTTGGATGCTCTTCCTCATACTGATGAAACTGCTGAAATAAACTGCAAAATGTATAGTTTTGTGTCTTTGACGTATTTTCACTGACACTGTTCTGTTCATGTCATCATGTGTTGGTGTGTCCAGACACAGAGGTGCAGCAAGAAGTGCCCTTCCCTCTATTAGATTTCAGGACTCGCAACATTTGCAGATTTGGACATTTTTTAACTTTTATCGTCTGATATTTCAATTGCAGCTTTACAGAGCTGCTCCTTCTATAATTTACATGCACGTACCTTCTATAGCATAGAGTAAGTTATGTAGACAAGGTTTCTCTATCATTCTTATATGTCTCTCCACTCTCCAAATGGAATTTGATTGATGCTTCACAGGTGCTACCTTACGGTGCCATCATGGCAAGATTTACCACGGCTTGCAGCTTTAAAGCCTGCAATTTTTTCATTTCATCTTTCATGCATTTTGTTTGATTGACAAGGGAGTTGAATTATCGTATGAATTGCCTGCCTACAACACCTTCATAATAAAAAGGTCAGGCCTTTATCTCTGTAGGTGCACTCTTTGATTAGATGTCTCCTCTATTTAAATATATATATGTGAATTTTTAATTTTGAGTAAATATTATGTTCGACTTTCATGACTGTTGTATGGTGTTTAGGCTAACTATTGGTAACATGAAACTCAAACCATTACAATGGCGTCTTCGAGAAAAAACTACTGCCGTGCCTCAAAAGGTCACACCATACAGGAAAGGCTTTGTGTATATATATTTAACTGCAATCTTATTTGAGACAGCAATGAGCATTTACCAATTCTCAATTAGTCCGCTCTATGTACAGAGTAGTGTACTTTAAAAGAATAAGGTCAAACAGTTAGCACGGTTCTAATTTATTTATTTCAGTCCACTGTTCTTACTATGAATCTTAACCTAACTATGGATATGTTTTAGTTTAACGAAATAAAATAGCACAAACGTACACATGATATGCTTTGAATTATCTCACCGGCTTAGGTACATTGTTATCATCACCTATATGTCCAATCATTGAAGTGGTCTTCACAGCTTCAGGCATACCATTGTAATTGTTGCTACTGACATCCTAGGTGGCCTTAAAGAGTTGGCAATTTCCATTTTACCCTCTAATTTTGGTTCATCGCCACGTTCTCTTACTAATAGCTGCCTAAATGCCCATGTAAATGGGACCATAGTTTCACATAATGTTTCTTCGAATAATCTTATAGTGATTCTATAAATGATAGGATGGTATATTTGCATTGCTTACACATTTTTAGGTTAGGTTAATTTAAATGATTGATGAACTACGATTACACACAGATAATGACATTATTGAGTTAACCTTGCATGACACAATGATTAATCTTTCCCATCAATAGGATCTGGGGATGCAATGAGCGGCCTAAAATCAGGCTCCAAATTTTATTTGTTGCATATATATTATTTAGCGTCCTAATACATCCGGATGTTTTTCTTAGCAAAAGTTGCTGATCATTGCTATTTTATATGCAACACATTACTATGTCTTGCTTCGTGCAACCAACTAATTTGTATTACTAATGCAGGATGCAACAGGTGTTATGTTACTGTATAATCCAATAAATGAAAGATCAGGAGATTGGTTATTAGGTTCTCTGGTCTACCAAAAATTCTCAGAGTTGACCTTATCCTTCTTCATGAGGAGGTAACTATTCTTTCCCGATCCTCTTTTGTTTAATGTAATTTCTGCTGTCTACATTATTTTTATTACAGGGAAACTCCATGCAAGGTCAGAGTTTAAAAAGAACTGGCTAATTATAAAAGTTGCTAACCTAACCCCACATCCAAACTTGGCCCCAAATAACCATCTGGCCCTGCTAAATAGCAAGGATGAGCGCTTGTGATAGGTATCTAGAATACTTACCTGAATTGATTTCGATCTAGGTTTCAGCTTAACAATAATCATCCAGTTCCTGAATGTCCATTTATCTATTGCAGGGGCAAACTTGATGCTGCCAAGTTAAGTTCCATAAAGCCGTTGTCATTGATTATTGCTGCCATGTTAGGTTTCATAGGAATATCATCATCAAGTTTTAGCGTTTTGCCTCCATTTGTCCCAGGTAATACTCAGCCTTGCAGAGTTGCAGGCATTATCTGCGCCAAACAATGTGCTACCATATGTGGTAAATGTACACTAATGTGGCAGTTACTATCGCAGAATAGCATTACATGTTCAACAGAGATTCAATCAATAGCCATCACATAAATATCATGTTTTTTACTCAGCTACTTATGGTGATTTTGATACCTGCAGCCTCTATATGGTTGTTTTTTATGAGCTTATGCCATCTTCGGTTTTTGTGATTATTTTTAGCCTATGTCGGTAGAGGCAGCAGCTTGGTAACGTTGGAAGCCATTTGGTTGATCTGACAGAACAAATCGTATACTAATGGTCAGTGCAAACTAATTAACTAAAATATCGGCTCCTACAGACTGACACAATACGGGCGCGGTGAAGCGCGCCTGTCGTCCTAGTATGAATGAACATGCATAAGGTTGCAAACTGCCCGCTCAAAATTTGCGATGTTTCTCTTTATTGTACTGTTGAGGCATGTGCCCGAAGGAATTTGTCATTGATATGGTTTGGCATATGATTCCTGAGGGATAAAGAGATGCATGGCAATCTTTCTTTTGCAGTGCCTCGTAAATCCCTGAGACCATTCATATGGCCTGCTGCGAGCTCCAGTAAGAAATAGAATACAGAAGAGGTTGCATAGGATAGGAGTGGGTGCTGACTTGGCTTCCCTTTGTCTATGTTACTTTGCCGAGGCTGATGTCTCCCATCCTTGTTCAAGTGGAGATTAATAAAGTTACTCACACTGATCGGGGAGGGATCAAGTATATATTTAATTTGGTCATATGGTCTGTGAATCATGTGCTGACTGTGATTTAACTAGTATCTGCCTCCCAGTTGCGGGTGATGCTTCCCAAGATCAAAGAGAACAGAACTGGTAATACTTAAATTCTACTGTTCTTACGTACAAATCAGCTAGCTTCTTCCTACTAATTGTTCAGTCATGGCTTTAGCAGTGATTACTTTCTTATGTTCTGAAAAAGAATGTCAACAACAATCATACTCCTTATTTGTATGATCACAGCAACAATATCAGTACCAACCATACTGATGAATAGAGCGAGAGATTGTGTGTGAGACAGAGAGGGTAGTACAATTTACTCTTGAAGAGACAGTGATCAAGATGAGGTCCAAATGTCCGGCATCAAGATTCATTATTTGCCCATGCCGCTTGACTATGTAATAATGGTGGAAATAAATGAAATCATGACTAATGGAACATGGAAAACCAAAACACGGTGGATATGAACAAAACAGAAATAATGTGCTCTGCCCTTTTCTTTATATATATGCTTATTCTCGCTATTTGGCATTAGAGTTTAATTTTCAGGGTTAAAACAGAAAAAGGCATATTACAAATGAATAAGAAGGCAACGGCAGGGATTTCAGATTCTCAAAAAAAAAAAAAACAGGAATTTTAGAAACACAGTCCCGACACCTTAATTAGTGGAAGAACAAGAAAGCAACGGCGGCAGTTTCAGAGAGCCATGAAACACTAGAAGCTTTTTCTACGATTTGTTTTCTGACGTTTTTGTTGATGTTGAGGAGAATCTAATGCTTTTGGGTTCATCGTAAGACTTGCCCATAGTTTGGTGCAAGAAGTCAAAGATGACAAGGAGACGTGAACGTGATTAGTGGGGACGCACGTTCTCATTGAAAAATTAACGGCTTTCACTGTCATTTCCTATTTTATTTATTTTTATAAGCTTCCATCGTGTCCTTGTTTATTATTATTGTTCATTCCATTGCACATCTTGACACATCTTCCTCCTCATGCATCTTTGCAAAACTTCTTTTATTATTTTTGAGCATATATGTCAAGAAAGCTGGTAGGCTCACCCTGTGTTGTAAAAAAAAACATAAATGAACCCATCAAACGTGTAAATGGGGATATCAAATCATTTTATGTAAGTCACAAGAAAAATATACAGTATCGTACCTATCCAAGTAAAAATTTGATGTAATTCAGGACTTACCATTGGTATGACGCATATGCTTTCTCTTTTACACAACTCACACAAGTAGCTTCCATTTTTCTTATAAAAAAAGTAGCTTCTATTTTCAAAAGTAACAATAATAAAAATAAGAATTTAAAGACATTATTGAAAACTTTATTTACTTAACTGGCCAACAATATTATTGTTGTTTATTACCCAACCACTTCCCTCTTCCCCTCCTCCACCCCAACCACAAGAAAAATACAATTTATGGTGTCCATAGAGCATCTCCAAGAGTCATTCTCATATAGGGTGCATCCTAACTCAAAACATTTCCCCTAAATATTTCTCCTCCAACGGTTTCCTTATCTCAAATAAATATACGAAAGACAACATGTTCTCTCAAACTTGAGAGAGAGGAAGTATGATTTAGGATAGCACTAAATGTAGGATGTTGAACATGGGACCTTTGGGGGGGGGGGTGAATTTTGTTGATAAACCTTAATTTGACTTAAAATTGGATAGGGGAACTCTTGAAGATGCTCTTACATATTAAAAAACAATAAATGATCATAAAAAAGTTCCATTTTATAAGGCTTCTACCAGCTCTAGCTTCTTCACTGTAGTGGACCTAGAGCAAAAAGAAGATATGTAGCTTCACTAGATTTCAATTCATTTTAGAGGGCCAGAGAAATAGCATTACTATAGTAGGATAATAGCATCGCAAATATGTGCGACAGGTAAAGCTGGACCTTAGTAGGTGAATAAGATGTAATTGAAGATGTTAGTATAATTAAAAGAAATGTCCATATTATAGCACTAGTTTGGCCGCAGAAAAACCAATAATTGATTGATGGAATATTGCATTTGAATAACTTGTAAATGGAGAACGGTATCTATTAGACAAAAATGCACATATTAAGGCACTACATTACCATCATCAATCAGGAGACAAAATTATGGGCCCCCAATTGCGGAATTGGCATGATTTTAACATTGTGTTCTCAATTTAATTTAACATAGAAAATTATCCAATCTGGATAGTGGCTTGCAACGATGGCTCCTAGCAATAGTCCATGAGCCTCGAATTGTATAAGCTAATGAATGAAGGGAATTAGTTGATCGATGCCTACCATCATTTATTAACTGTTCATACCAGTTCACACTAGAATTGGATTAGGGTGCCAATTTATCACCTTAGCTTTGTAAACAAATTATTTGAGAATATATAGATTTGAACTTTCCCATGACGTGCCAATATTAGGGCCTGTTTGGCAGGGCTCTGGCTCCTCTGAAAATGGCTCCGGCTCTGGCTCCTCTGGAGAGCTGAAGCCGTTCTGAAAAACGTTTGGCAAAACGGCTCCTTCGCACTAGACGACGTGAACCCACAGCAAGGAGCCGCACGAAGCTCGTTTTTTAGGCTTCTCCTGTGCAGACAAAAAATAGCTCCGGCTCTTGACCGGCTCTCCATGCGGAGCCCTTTCCAAAACAGGCGTTTGGCACAGCTCCTGCAGGAGCCGGAGCTGAAGCCCCTGCAGGAGCCCTGCCAAAGAGGCTCTTAGTTTGTCAAGGCATTGCAATTAGATTAAAATGTGGCTCTTGTGTTCTTACCTTGCTTTAAAGTTTAATTGTGATTTTGCTCTTGTCGTATCAAAACGAAGGAGAGCTTAGGCTTGTTCTGTTTAGTGCCATTTTGGCTTCAAAAACTACCTTTTCCATGTGAATTTGCCCCCATGTGTTTTGAGTTCTCTGTGGTTTTAACCTCTATTTTAATATGAAAATTTGGACAATATTTTTGAAACATTTTTTTTACAAAAGAGCTCCTTCAGGGATTGATGTTGGACGGGAGTTGACTCAACATGAAATCGATTTACAGATATTCCAAATCTAAGTAAACTTTAACTAGTTACACATGCGTAATTAAGCATTGACGAAAGCCGGGAGAGTTAGAATAAAATCATGGGTTAGTATAGTCTTTTATTTCTTTAATCATTTATTTGCTTTTAGCTAACTAAGTGTGAACTATGGCAAACGGTGGCTACAAATAAAAAAAAATCAAAGGTAAAATCACAAAAACAAACAAGAGTAAAATCGCGGTTAGTCTTAAAGCAAAGGGTAAGAACACTAATATCTTAATTAAATAGTGAGGTAAATAGACCATGAGTTTCAAAGTTAGTCTTTATTAATACTTCTAGATTGAATGGGTAATAAAAAAACTACAAAGCCATCTCATCATAAAGCAGTTAAAAGTTTTATATAGGAGGAGTATATATATTTATTTAACATATCCAGTAAGTGAGTGGCAAGAGATACTAGTTGGATAATAAAGGAAGGAAAACAAATTAAATAATAATTAAAAAATAGGAAAGGGAAGTTTCCGACCACGTTGTCTTCCTCCTGTCTTCTCCCCTCTCCTCCGCCTCTCGCCAAGGAGGCGAAGACGATAACCACCGACGTGCTCCCCCACATGCCCTAGCGATCCGTTCCCATTTGCAGACCCCATCCAAGCTCCGAGCAATCATCAAACCTGGCCGATTAGATTTCCACCCTCACATGGAGGAAAAATCCAACCTTCGCATGTGACCTCTCTTTAAATCCCCGCAAGAATCGATCAATCAATCCAAAAGGGGACAGGAAAACAGAGCAATCCCGTTGCTTAGCGTCTTCGCCTTGCCGTTGTTGGCTTCTCGCCTCCGTTCCTCGGCACGCGTAGGCCCATAAACCTCCGCTAAAGCTCCTTTGTCGCGCCCAATTCGTCAGCCATTCCCCCAGATTCCCCATAGGCGAGGGTTCCCCGCGCCGAGATCCAATCTTTTCAGTCGCTCGGTTTGAATCGGTGTAAATTCCTCCGGAAAGTAACCAGGAATCGTCCCCCGGAGTTGGAAAAGGTTTCCATTTCTGACCGGTGGTAGAGCCTTGCCACACGTTTTGCCGAGGAAAGCCAGGGCGTCCGTTCGGTTACGGTTCTTGATCCGGGGAGGGACCGCCGCCGCCGAAGGCAATGCAACCGGACCCGCAAGGCCCGGGCAGGGGGAAGGCGGGCGGCGCCAATGCGCACGTGTGGCTGCCGCCGCCGGTGACGGCGGGTCGGGTGGGCGGCCGGCGTCGGTGCTGCCGCACAAGACGGACAACGTGCGCGACCACTACCGCATCGGGAAGAAGCTGGGGCAGGGGCAGTTCGGCACCACGTACCAGTGCGTGGGCAAGGCGGACGGCGCCGAGTACGCGTGCAAGTCCATCCCCAAGCGCAAGCTGCTGTGCCGCGAGGACTACGAGGACGTGTGGCGCGAGATCCAGATCATGCACCACCTCTCCGAGCACCCCAACGTCGTTCGCATCCGCGGCGCGTACGAGGACGCGCTCTTCGTCCACCTCGTCATGGAGCTCTGCGCCGGCGGCGAGCTCTTCGACCGCATCGTCGCCAAGGGCCACTACTCAGAGCGCGCCGCCGCGCAGCTCATCAGGACGATTGTCGGGGTGGTGCAGGGGTGCCACTCGCTCGGCGTCATGCACCGGGACCTCAAGCCGGAGAATTTCCTCTTCGCGAGCACCGCCGAGGATGCCCCGCTCAAGGCCACTGATTTTGGGCTCTCCGTGTTCTACAAACCCGGTGCGTATCTATGCAATGTTTGTGGCTCTATTTGGTTTGAAATTTGTGCTTTATAGTGTTGCTATTTGGTCCCTCATGCTCTAGTGATATGTGGGCAAATGGCTAGCATTGCGTTTGGTAGGGAGTAGTGCTCTTATTAGTTGTTTTTGCCTTTCTGGTACATCAGCAAGCCTATTAAGTATTAGTGTCATTTGCATAACATCTTATTTTGCTAGCATAAAAAAAATCTATCACAGACATCGAAACTATAATAACATCTCATACTTAATCCTTGTTAATAGTAATAAGGCTTTCAAGGTTGATAGCAAGAGCTGTCTTTTCTTGTACACATCTAATACAGTTTGTGTTAAACGTCAGCTGCTATTAACATAGTGCATAGTGATTAATGAAGTTTTCAGTTGATTTATTGTTCTCTTCTGCTTGCTTAAGTGATTAACAGAACACACACTGAAAGCTATCCCTTTCCATTCTCCAGGTGATAAATTTGCTGACGTTGTTGGGAGCCCCTATTATGTTGCCCCAGAGGTGCTTCAAAAATGCTATGGCCCAGAAGCTGATGTATGGAGTGCTGGAGTGATTTTGTACATTTTGCTATGTGGTGTACCCCCATTCTGGGCAGGTAAACTGTTTGTTATTCCAACGATCAAATTGCTAGGTCGTGATCCATTTCTGTTTACCGATATTTGCATGTTTACATGTGTAGTTTTTTTCCCTATTTTTCCCCTCCCTTCAGAGAGTGAAGCAGGGATCTTCAGGCAGATTTTACGAGGCAAACTTGATTTGGAATCTGAACCATGGCCAAGTATCTCTGATAGCGCTAAAGATCTAGTCCGTAAGATGCTTACCCGGGATCCTACGAAGAGATTGACTGCTCATGAGGTTCTATGTAAGTTTTCTGCCTTCATGCCTTCCCTCCCTCTCTGTCTTAGATTTCATATGCATGCTTGTGCTCCTGTGCCATTTTTATTGACATTGACTATGCCAGGTCATCCATGGATTGTTGATGATGCTGTTGCACCTGATAAGCCTATTGATTCTGCTGTTTTGTCAAGGCTGAAAAACTTTTCTGCAATGAACAAGCTCAAGAAGATGGCATTGAGGGTAAGATCTTTTTATCCCATTGTCGATATGTAATTATGTTGCAAATGAAATTCAGAACTTTGTTTAGTGGCGATGTTAGGTTCATGCTTCATTTCTGTTATAACTCCCTTGCAACCTACTACTAGTTTTGTGCAATAAGTTAACTTCGCATGTATTTTTCCTTTCTCTTTCTCCTTGTTTTCCATGTTAACTAGATTTTTTTGTGAACATGTAAATCTATATTACTCGCCTTTATTTTTCAGAAAGGCCAATTTATACACATCTGCTTAAAAACTGAAACTTTTGAAGCAAGGCCATTTAACCTCCTATTGTTATTTTTTATGGTGGGTTGGTGGTTCTGCCAAAAAGCTAGCCTGCATGCCACCTGCACCTCTCTTTCATAATTCATGGAACCTTTTTTCTTTCCAAAAGAACAGTCCCCGCGTACCCAAACCCTGCTGTCTCCAATCCCTTCAGCTGCACTATGGCCAGACCTGGATGCCAGCCACGGTAATCTATGACTACCGATCAGCAAAAGCTATTGAACCCATGATTAAAGGCCACCTAACACTAGCAGCAGGATGCCACGAATGCCAGCAATGGTAACTTTCAAAACAGAGGTTCAGAAAAAGGAAAAAGTCTACATAACCCCCTGCTGCCTGCCTCTCTCTGTAACTTCTTTTTCTTCTTCTTCTTATTACTCTTGTTTATTGGTGGTTTGGCCTCACAGGCTGTGTGTGAAAAAGCTAACATCTGTATGTCGTGTATGCACTCTGCGAGTTCGGCAAGATTGGTAGTTACTAATGTACTATGCCTTGTTGAGCGCTGCTGCTGGACCCCCGGGGAGTAGTCATAGACGACGAGCATCTCGCCGTGGTCCGTGCACCACCCACGCAGCTGCACGAGGTTCTTGTGCCGGGGCTTGGCCAGGTTGTAGAGCTCCGTGGCGAACCGGACGTGCATCCGGAGTCGATGCGGTCGCAATTGGTGCGACGGTGTTTGCCCTGCCGCCACCGCCTGGGGCCAGCACCACCACTGCTGCCGCAGGGGCTGATCCACCGAAGGACTGCCCGCAGCCGTCACCCGTCGCAGCCCGCCACCCAGCCCCTGGCCGCGGCCGCCGCCTGCCGCCCCCGACCTCAGCTGCTGCGCGCCGCAGCAACCAACCGTCGCAGCTGGCTGCTGCCACAAGGAAAGATGCGCAGCCGCTGGCCGCCACACGATACGCCGTCGCCGCTCATGCTCTGCCACCGCCTGCCTCTCGCGGTCCCGCCCAGAAACGAAAAACAGAGGAATTTTTCCATCCCGCACGCTGCCAGGAGCCTAGAGGCCTCGTCATCAAAGGTAGACAGCGTGGAGCGCCACATATGCAAAACCACCTAGCAAAACCACCCAGGGGGTTATTTGTCCGGTTTTACAAAGTTTAATGTGTACAATACCTGGTTTTATAGTTCAGGGGGTTATGTAGACCACCCTCAATACATGAGGGGGTTATGTTGACTTTTTCCTTCAGAAAAATGTGTTGTCCTTTCTTTTTTCTTTGAAGAGAAGGTTGCTTTTGCTTAATTGTCTGACACATACTAGAACAAGTAATGCTCAGGTTCCCACTATGGGTTGTGCAATATTGTCTGACACAATAAGCATGTCGTGAAGTTGCAAAAATGCTTGGTAAATGATAAGTGACAGACAGCATGTGCAACATGCAATGTCCATCGAAATTGATCTTTTCAGAGGCATTTCTTTGGTTCGTGCAGGTGATTGCTGAAAGTCTATCTGAGGAGGAGATTGGGGGTTTAAAGGAGTTGTTCAAAATGATCGATACTGACAACAGCGGGACGATAACTTATGATGAACTGAAGGATGGTCTGAAAAGGGTGGGCTCAGATCTGATGGAACCTGAAATCCAGGCTTTGATGGATGCAGTAAGTGCTACTATTATATCAAGTGTTTCCAAATAAAATAGTTCTACTGGAGCATCCTTTGGTTTAATGAATCATTGAGATTGTAATCTGGGCTTGGCCTCTGTATCAGGCTGATATTGACAACAGTGGAACCATTGATTATGGAGAGTTCTTAGCGGCTACATTGCACATGAATAAACTGGAGAGGGAGGAAAGCTTGGTGTCGGCATTTGCATTCTTCGATAAGGACGGGAGTGGCTTCATAACAATCGATGAGCTCTCACAAGCATGCGAGCAGTTCGGTCTTTCTGATGTTCATCTTGAGGATATGATCAAAGATGTGGACCAGAACAATGTTAGTCTTCTTCATCCTTCTTGTTTTTCGTCTCCATCTCCTTACTTGTCTGTTGTCTCATCTTCATTTAATTGGGTGCTGTCAAATTATACATCACTTTCCAGGATGGGCAAATTGATTATAGTGAGTTTGCTGCGATGATGAGAAAGGGCAATGCTGGTGGAGCAGGAAGGCGAACCATGAGGAACAGCTTGCATGTGAATCTTGGTGAACTCTTGAAGCCCGCTGAGACCTAGTTTTTATCAGAGGATTCTGCTTTCCAGATGCTTCCATCTGAAGTTCAGCGTGGCTCATCAGCTTTCACAGATTGATTAGTTGATCTAGTACCAGTGCCACAGAAAAAGCTGTTTAAATTTTCTCAGTGGTACTAGTAGTTAGTGGAAAGAGCATTCTGTGGTATCAGTGACAAATTTTAGGTGCTTGTCTTGTCATGATTGTTGTTGGTAATTTCAGGTTTGTACCATTACTGATCTTTGTTGTCAGTGTAAAATGGGCTGTTGTCCCATAATGTAGGCACCTAGGTCTCCATTTGAAGTATCGACGGATTTGTAAACATGTTCTCATGAACCTATTTCTTATTGATGATTTGACAAAACTCATTGTTTTTTCCTCGTCACAGTATTAGGAATGGTTACATCATTTGTCTCCCTTCATCCTTGCCAGCTGCTGTTCACGTATCACTTGCTTTTCCATCTTTCTGAACTCTCAACTGATGAGGAAAGGAGCTTCATATATATGCTGTGGATGATACTATGGCAAATTATGTGTGTGTGTTTTCTGTGTGCTCCTATGTTTGGCAGTATTTTCATGTGGCGAAGGAACATGATAGGGATTCAGAATCTGATGATACCATGTGCAGAGCATTTGTTCAGACATGGTTAAACCAGTGTTGTGCTCCAGGTGTTCTTGCAGAGATATTTACTCTAGTCTTGTTGCCAGGAGCAAGTTGTATGTGTTGCCATCCAGTGATCTCTTGGATGTAATGTAATCAATGATCAAAGATAGGAACAGTTCGGCTTCGGCCTCTTCCCGTACATGAAGATCACTGAATCATTTGTCGTGACTGATAATCTGCAGGCAGGAGTCAGGACCGCAATTGGACTGCCCTGAATGTCCATTCTTGTTCTTCAGTTAAGCACCACAAGAAGCCGCACGCAGCCTGGTGCGAGAGAGAGGCCGTCCGTCCGTCCCTGAGTGAGTGAGTCACATGAAGCACAGGGCATGGCAACAAACAACTCGCAGCAGCAGGCGTTGCCATCGTCACAAGCCCCCAAGAGACCCTCATTATTCGACGAAAACTACGGCGGCGGCCATTGCCAAGCGTGCGAATCGATCCACGGACGATGGGAGATCACCGCCGGCACCTACGTACGGGTGACACTGGCTGGCGAGGTGCGTCCACAGAACTTGCTGCAGGTCTCTGTCCATCCCGGCGATCCTTTTTTAGGTGAGCAACTCCCATGGTTGAGCTGCATGCAGCAGGGTCCGTCGTTGCCGCTTTATTTAACCTTTTTGGTTTAACCATACAAGGCACAGATGAAAATGGATAATGGGGATGGAAATTACAGAAAAGAAAAGATGGTGTGCCAGCAGCTGCCCCAGAGCATGAGGAATCAGGACAAAGGAAAAGCTGGTGATTGGTGATGGCTACAGGATTGGATTGGAGCCAAGGCAGTGTGAGAGGCAGCCAAGCATGACGCGTCAGCCACCGAAATCCAGAGCGCAACCTCGGCCACACGACTCATATCCCCTTGTGCTCTTGTGCACCCTGGTTACCCCGGTGTGCTGCTGGCTTCTTCTTGTTTAAATATGGGAGATGATTGCAGCTCTCATCACTAAGGAAGCAGAAGAAGCTAAGACGGCTGTGAAGTGTGAACCTGAACCTTGTCTGAGGTCAGTGAGCTAGTAGCTGAGTTCCGATCCTAGGCAGCTAGGATACCGCCATACCAGTAGTCTTCTTCACAAGTTAAGAGAGACAGCAACACGAGATGGTCGCTGCTAGCCTGCTCAAGTCCTCCTTCCTTCCCAAGAAGTCCGAATGGGGCGCCACCCGGCAGGCCGCCGCCGCGCCCAGGCCGGCCACCGTCTCCATGGTCGTCCGCGCCTCCGCCTACGCCGATGAGCTCGTCAAGACCGCGGTACGTACGCTCCGTCATAGCACTGGTCAATCTCTTCTTCTTCCTCCTGGCTCCTGCTGCTGAAGTGCATGCATGGATGTTCAGAAAACGATCGCGTCGCCGGGGCGTGGCATCCTGGCGATGGACGAGTCGAACGCGACGTGCGGGAAGCGGCTGGCGTCCATCGGGCTGGAGAATACGGAGGCGAACCGGCAGGCGTACCGCACGCTGCTGGTGACGGCGCCGGGGCTGGGCCAGTACATCTCCGGCGCCATCCTCTTCGAGGAGACGCTGTACCAGTCCGCCGTCGACGGCCGCAAGATCGTCGACATCCTGGTGGAGCAAGGGATCGTGCCGGGGATCAAGGTGGACAAGGGCCTCGTCCCGCTCGCCGGCTCCAACAACGAGTCCTGGTGCCAGGGCCTCGACGGCCTCGCCTCCCGCGAGGCCGCCTACTACCAGCAGGGCGCCCGGTTCGCCAAGTGGCGCACCGTCGTCAGCATCCCCAACGGCCCCTCCGAGCTCGCCGTCAAGGAGGCCGCCTGGGGCCTCGCCCGCTACGCCGCCATCTCACAGGTTGGTTGGTTGGTTCTTTATTTGCTGCCATTATCGGCTGCATGCATGATGCATCGCATGACCAACTGCTGCATGACGACCTTCCTGCAGGACAACGGGCTGGTGCCGATCGTGGAGCCGGAGATCCTGCTGGACGGGGAGCACGGGATCGATCGCACGTTCGAGGTGGCGCAGAAGGTGTGGGCGGAGACCTTCTACGCGATGGCGGAGAACAACGTGATGTTCGAGGGCATCCTGCTGAAGCCGTCCATGGTGACCCCGGGCGCGGAGGCCAAGGACCGGGCGACGCCGGAGCAGGTGGCCGAGTACACGCTGAAGCTGCTCCACCGCCGGATCCCGCCCGCCGTGCCCGGGATCATGTTCCTCTCGGGGGGCCAGTCGGAGGTGGAGGCGACGCAGAACCTCAACGCCATGAACCAGGGGACCAACCCGTGGCACGTGTCCTTCTCCTACGCCCGCGCGCTGCAGAACACCTGCCTCAAGACCTGGGGCGGCCAGCCCGAGAAGGTCAAGGCGGCGCAGGACGCGCTGCTGCTCCGCGCCAAGGCTAACTCCCTCGCGCAGCTCGGCAAGTACACCTCCGACGGCGAGGCCGCCGAGGCCAAGGAGGGCATGTTCGTCAAGAACTACAGCTACTAATCAGCCGGCCGGCCGGCCATCACCGGGATACCGACGACCCTCCGAGATATGTGTACGTACACTACTGATCATGCATGGTTATGCACCTACACCGATCCATCCCCGTGAAGCCATGATATGATCCATGGACGACCATGCATCATGGTGCTGATCGATGCCGTGTCCTGTTACATAATACATACTAGTAGTACGTACTGCTAGTTACTGCAAGGATCAAGCTCGCCACTGCAAAGTCTGGGATAATGTATGCGTGGCGCCGAGATCCGAGAGAAAATAATAATAATAAGTTTCGAGATGGCTCCTTAATTAATTAATTAATTACCGGGTGCTGATTTCTTCTAAATATAATGAAGAAGTGTAGTTCTGCTAGTTTTCGAGAAAAAAATTACTGTGTACTGGAGTACTGAGATATGTTAGTAGATTTTATATAAATGCTATGGCTGCAAAAAGAACGAACAAGACCTGAGAAAAAAAAATGAAACCACAAGAAGCACCAAACCAAGTTCGCAGTGAACACCGGCTGATATACGGTGAAGTGAGTAACTTGACGTTTCAAGCTTTCTATAAAAGCTGGGTTTACCTCTGTCACAAAAAATATATGGTGAAGTGAGGATAAATCCACTTGATCACACGATGATAACCAGTGAGTGACTTGTACGAGTTATAAAATTGGGTGAACAAAGTCACGGGATCGTTCGCCGAAGAGAGAAGAGAAGACCACTGGATTATACAATGACAATTAGAGAGTGGCAATGAAGAAAGTCACGATGGAATGTGTGACCAACCGTCCGATACTGTGAAGGGAATAGGAGACCTGTTGTATCATCCGACAATGATTAGAGTCATTTTCTATCACTACAACAGGAACAATTTCAGAGGTGTCTCATTTTTCCCTAGTGTTGTTATTAGATAAAAGAATGACCCTAAAAGTGGTCCAAGAGGCGGTTCATCTCTAAAATTTCCAGAGACGGTTGGTGTTTCTAGACGCCCTAGAAATGTTGTCCACTTTTAGGAGCACTAACCGACTATACTAGATTTGAAATTGTTATTGGCTGAAATATTTAATATAAAATTTATAGTAGTTTATATTATGGCACCTAGCCTGGAATTACTTGAATCTCATATGGTCTTCTTTCGTTTCTTATTTACTAGTGAAAATGCTCGTTATTTGTTATAGTTGGTCTACATTGACGACCCAAGTTCAAGTGACTTTGATGACTACATAAGTTTCATGTAAACATCTTATACTTGATCCTATTTAGTATGGATACAAACTCGACACCAGAAGATGGATATAGCTATAGCATTTTCTGGTTTGGTTGGGAAATAAACAATCTAGCTACCTGGTTGATGTAGACTCGATCAACGTATTGCAAAGAAACATCTTATACCTAGTTCATGCTTTCTGTTTCTTGTTTATACAAACATGTAAATGAATTTAGTTCGGTGAATTTTGAATTACTAGCACAAAATTGACACATGAGGTTTGTGTGCTTGTGTTCATACTAAATAAGATCGAGTATGAGGTAGTTACATGTCACTTGGAGTTGTGGCCGGTGTCCTCGAAGTCACATAAACTCTTACATAGTCTAGGTCATAATTATAGTCTAATTATAACAGAAAAACAAGAGCATGCACGGGAAAAAGACACCAAAAGACCATATAATAAAGATAAAATAATTCTAAACCAACCACAAGATAGAGCATGATTTAATTAAGAAAAGATCTTAAACTTGTATCATATTTCTCTGAGCTAAAACAAATTTTCTAAAAATTAGGGTTTTAGTTGCATAACTTTTCTGAAGTATTTGGATTTTGTTTTGATAGAAAAATGTATCCATACTTTTTTATTAATAAGTACAGTCAGCTGTCAAATTATCGATCTAGTCCAATCTACTTCTCTT